GGCATTTATTGGCTTACTTGCTCCCTAATGTCCACAAGACCTAAAACTGTTGAATTTGGATGCTCATGATGAGGTGGGAATGGGAAGGGCAGCATGTGCTCCTCAGGGCAGCTGCTTGCTGTCCCTGCGCTAACGCAAGCCTTTAAGCACTTTGTGGGCTAGCTTTTACCCTCCTGGCTGGGTGACCAGCTGTGGGAGAGGGGGCTACAACCTGTGCAATGACTGACCTGATGGTGCTGGCCCATGGGAGGGGATGCCCCGAAGGGAAATCCTCCTTGCAGAGGTTGGCGGGGACGCTATAAGGGGTGGCTGAAGCAGGGAAGCATCCCAGATGACACAACCAACAGGCTAAAGGCCGGTGGGCTTTGTGAGCAAAAAGAGCAGCGAGCTAAAAGATGCACATGGCATCCAAAGCTGAGGAAGAAAACTCATAAAAGAGCCAAGAGAAGGAGAGGAAATATTTTTTGGGAACTGTAGTCTAGGTTCAGCTTTGGTATTAAACCAAAGTTTCCTCTTTCCTTGGAGATGTACCCTGAGGCAAGGGACTAAAATAGACTTGGGCATGTTCCAGGCTCTCTCTAGTGCAATGAGTACATATCACTCTCTTCCCCCCCCTTCAGGAACCTTAGTGTTAAAACAAAGCCAAAAATTAATTATATTCCTGTATTCCCTCACAGTCAAAGTTTGTATTTCAGGAACAAACTCTTGGGGTTATAATCAAACAGCAGCATTAATCTTCTCTGCTAGATTTGAGCAGTTGATTGTGCTAAGTAATATTTTGTGGTCTGTTTTAGAGAAAACATGTGGTCCAGTCTTCAGCTGGTAGAACTGCCTTCTCGTACGCTAGCTGAACATCTCATGTCTACTCATTTGGTATTTTTTTAAAGCAAAACCCCAAGAAAGTGTCAGAGAAATTGTCTCTTTGTTTCTGACATCGTGTCCGAATATTGGTTATAAATGCTTTGTCTAGAAGGCTATCAGAAATTATGTTTTGGTAAATAAATGTTGTAAGATCTGTTACTTGTGTGTTTGTTAACTCATTGGAGGCATATAGCAGGAAGGCTGAGAGAAATGTCTGCAGATGCTTTGATGTTGTTCCTGCATCTCTTGTGCTGGCTAGTACAGGATGAGCGAAAGAGCAGAATTGTCCATTTCTGTTCTAGCGCATAGTGTAGTTGTGCAGTCATGTACTTAAACCATGTTCAGTTTTGTTTTCTTTAAAGAGGCTTTAATAATGCAAAGGTGCCTTAAGAAAATATATAATTGTGTGCAATTTGCTGCTGAAGAGCACACAGCTTCCCATTTGAACCACTGCTACCCCCTGTAAGCAGGCATGGGGAACATGTCGTCTTTGGATTTCAAAGTGTTTTTTCTCCTGTGTGTGCAGTGACAGAATGCATAAAGCTGGTCTTGGAGAAGTGCATATGCAAAGTGAGATTGTGATGAAGTCTGGTCTGAAGTAAATTTATTACGGCCATTCTGTATATGGCTATTGCTTCCTGTTACAGAAAGGCACTCAGCTTCCTTAGTAGCTGCCTGCGGGTTCTCCCCTTGCTCTGCTTTTGTTGTGCCAGCCTGAAGCCGGGCTTTTGTTCTTACGGGGGTTCTTCAGGGAAATAATTTTATATGGTGATCATGTGGGATAATCAAGGAAGGTGAAAAAAGTGCTGAATCAATCTGGGTTTTAGCTTTTATTTCCGTCTTCCAACATCCAATCTTTTCTTTCTTTTAAAGGCAACACGGGGTCAAAATTCTTAGTGCTAAGCTGCAGATCTTAGAGACAGCTTCACCTCATCCTGTATGCAGCCTGCCATACCTGTAGGGTAGGTATGGTCTCTTGGTCTGTTGGTTCTGAAATTTGCTTGCTCATGAAGTTCCCAAAGGTTTGCACAAATAAGTACATTAGGTGCTTCTAAAGCTGCAGCGACCTCCTGTATGTTGTAGACAGGCAGCATGCCATTTCCCTGAGTGTCTAAACTGTCCTTCTAGCACCTTTACTATTTTCATGGGCATCAGGTTATTGCCATGCATTTGACAAGAGCTGCACTTCAACTCGGGAAGTCAGGCTAGTATATGAAGTACGGCCTGTCTGTGGAGAGGCATGTTTTGCTACAGGTTTGTGTTGGGTTCCAGGCAGCAATTTTAATCTTGAGGATGCCAAATGGTGGCCCAGGCATCTACTGATCTACAACGCTTTGCATCTCTGCCCATATGTTGCAAACCACTAAGCAAATCTTAGTGCACTATTCCCAGCACTGGGTCTCATGAAGGAGAAACATGCCATGCTAAGAACATGCCTGTGCTGTGGCACCAGGCCTGGAACATCCTCTTTTTACTGAGACAGTGTCCTCATGGATTGTACTGCCCCGTTTAGAGACTCTTTAATATACCTGTAATGCAGATACTCAGGGGCTGCTGGATCCAAAGAAGCTTGTTTGCAAAGGAAGACATTTTGACTTCCAGATGTCATCTTTTCCTGTCTGAAAAATGGGAACAATGA